AATAATCATATGTGTTAGACTTTTTAAGGAATTAAATGTCTGTTTTTTTATTATATTATATTAAAGTTTAATATTTTGATAATAATCATATGTGTTGGACTTTTCAAGAAATTTTTTTTATGCTTGTTCTTAATGCATTAAAGTGTTATTATGAGGGATAATAATCATATGTGTTGGGACTTTTCAAGAAATTCATATGTGTTGGATTTCAAAGAATTTTTTTTATGCTTGTTCTTAATGCATTAAAGTGTTATTATGAGGGATAATAATCATATGTGTTGGGACTTTTCAAGAAATTCATATGTGTTGGATTTCAAAGAATTTTTTTTATGCTTGTTCTTAATGCATTAAAGTGTTATTATGAGGGATAATAATCATATGTGTTGGGACTTTTCAAGAAATTCATATGTGTTGGATTTCAAAGAATTTTTTTTATGCTTGTTCTTAATGCATTAAAGTGTTATTATGAGGGATAATAATCATATGTGTTGGGACTTTTCAAGAAATTCATATGTGTTGGATTTCAAAGAATTTTTTTTATGCTTGTTCTTAATGCATTAAAGTGTTATTATGAGGGATAATAATCATATGTGTTGGGACTTTTCAAGAAATTCATATGTGTTGGATTTCAAAGAATTTTTTTTATGCTTGTTCTTAATGCATTAAAGTGTTATTATGAGGGATAATAATCATATGTGTTGGGACTTTTCAAGAAATTCATATGTGTTGGATTTCAAAGAATTTTTTTTATGCTTGTTCTTAATGCATTAAAGTGTTATTATGAGGGATAATAATCATATGTGTTGGGACTTTTCAAGAAATTCATATGTGTTGGATTTCAAAGAATTTTTTTTATGCTTGTTCTTAATGCATTAAAGTGTTATTATGAGGGATAATAATCATATGTGTTGGGACTTTTCAAGAAATTCATATGTGTTGGATTTCAAAGAATTTTTTTTATGCTTGTTCTTAATGCATTAAAGTGTTATTATGAGGGATAATAATCATATGTGTTGGGACTTTTCAAGAAATTCATATGTGTTGGATTTCAAAGAATTTTTTTTATGCTTGTTCTTAATGCATTAAAGTGTTATTATGATGGTAAGACTTGGGAGGTGGGAGAAGCTAGTAAATGCTAAGATTTTTTTTTTAAAATAAAAAAATCAAAAAATTTAGATTGAGAGATTGAAACTCTCACAAGATTTGGGGTTAAAAACTCTCATTTTGCTTAATATATAGTATAGATGTTTATTGTATGAATTCTTGTAAAATGTGTATTCAAAATTTTTAATAGAAAAATATTTTGAATTTTAGGGTAAATTATAATTTGTGCGGATGACCCACATTCAGGATTTTAGAGTAAAAATTCTTAAGTACCTAACATAACTTGTGAAAAATGGTGGAATAATCTTATGCCAAATCTAGAAAGTGCAATTTAAAAATGGAGCTTTTTGATAAGTTCTCTTTTTAAGAGTTTTTTTTTCATTCAACTCATATTTTGACTATTCTATTAAGTCTCATTTGAGGTAAGAAGACCAAAATATCCTAAATCTCTCATACCCTTATTAATGTTGATATTTAATGTTGATTGTCATTATATCTTCACTTCAAAAAAATGCAGTTAATATTTAATGTTGACATATATTACACACTAAAAATTAAATATGATTTTTTATTAATTGTCATTATGTTTTTATAGTTTTCATGCATCATTGATTGTCATTATGTTTTTGGTAGTTCCTATGCATCCAAATGTTAACTGTATGTGATGACGTGAATGTGAATGTTCATATCAGATGACATTGTGATAAATATGATGTTAATGTTTACATCAGCATTGCATCAAATTACACAATTACAAGTTTCAACTTTCATTTGAATATAAACATGACGTGAATGTTCACACTAAAATGTGAACATTCACGTCATCTGATGTGAACATTCACATTCACGTCATCTAATGTGGATATTCACATTATCACGTATAGTCAACATTTGAATACATGGAAACAACCAAAACATAATGACAATTAATAAAGAAACATGTTTAATTTTTGTGTGTAATGTATGTCAACATTAAATAGTGGTGTGTAATTAATGCATGTCAACATTTTTTTTTTTAGAAAGTGGAAGTCATGAGCCCCTACAAAACAGGAACATCACTCAACAAAACCTGCACTAAATGCTCAGGAACCCCAGCCATCCAAACTCGTTTCTCCGGATCCTCCTTAGCCATTTGAGCCAAATGGTGAGCCATTACATTGCCACTCCGGCGCGTGTGCGAAACACAGAAGCTCGCAAATTGCTTACTACGATCAATGGCATATTGTAAAAAATGACCAAACGAAGCATTAAGATAACCATCCTCTCGCATAGCCTTGATCACAGTAAGGGAATCACCTTCCAAATGAATGTTTGTTAATCCCAATTCTGTTGCAAAATCCAAAGCCTTGACAGCAGCAATAGCTTCAATACAATCACTCTCCATCCATTGTGGAATTTGCTCCGATAAAGCTGCAACAGGAACGCCATTGAGATCCCGAATCACCACCCCTACCCCACAGACCTTCTGCCGCATGAACATGGCCCCATCGAAGTTCACTTTAAGAATCTCCCCAATCGGCGGTCTCCACTTCGCAACTCCGTGAGCCACTGGAATCCCACTCACGTTGGAATGAACCCGCTCAAAATCTCGCATTAAATCACACACCATCTAAACTATCGCGGCAGCCGAGTGAATGGCATTACTAAAAAGAGCTTGATTTTTTATTAGTTTTTGGCAGTTTATTTGATAATCTTTTGGTCATGGATCCTCCAAGTGAAGAAACATTTTTTGTGAGTCCTAATGTTGAGCCCGAATAATCTTCTATTAACCTCTCTACCCAATCTAATGCTTCCTCTCCTAGACCACCCCTGGCCAAAACTAGTAGTAGTGGGAGAACAACATCAAAGGCTTGGGATCATTTTGAAAAGACTGAGGGTATTGATGGGAAAGATAGGGCTATATGCAATTATTGTAAGAAAGAATATATGGTAGGCTCTAAGAGTCATGGAGCAAGTAATTTGTTAAGTCATTTGAAAATTGTACAAAGTATCCATATAGGGATACTTATGGGCAATGAACATTGGGATTTCAACCTAGAGAAGTTGGTGGAGAGGGTGTTGTTAATGTTATGGCTACGCCATTTTTTATAGAAGTTGCTAGGAGGTATCTTGCTAATATGATAGTAATTGATGAATTGCCCTTTAGATTTGTGGAAGGGGTTGGTTTTAAGAGGTTTTGTAATGCCGTGCAACCCAAGTTCAAGATGCCATCTCGATATACCATTGCTAGGGACATTGTAGACATATATACTAATGAAAAGAAGAGGTTAAAGAAAATTGTAAAGGGGCGTAGAATTTGCTTTACTACAGACACATGACTTCTATACAAAATTTGTGTTGTATGTGTCTAACTGCACATTTTGTTGACGATAATTGAAAGTTACAAAAGTGGATCATAAATTTTTGTCAAATTGAAGACCATAAAGGAAAAACATTTGGTAAAAAAATTGAGACACTCTTAAAAGAGTAGGACATTGATGGTCTTTTTACCTTAATTGTTGATAATGCAAGTTCTAATAATCTAACCATTAGATTCTTGAAACGAACCACAAAACTGTGGAAGGGAACTGTCTTGGGCCATAATTTTTACATATGCGTTGTTGTGCGCATATTCTAAATCTCATTGTAAGTGATGGATTGAAGGATCTTAAGTCTTGTATAGCGAATGTGAGGCATACAATAAGGTATGTGAGGCCTTCTCCAAACCGCCTTGACTTTTTTAAAAAGTATGTGGAAAGTTTGAAAATTGAGAGCAAGAGTCTCTTGTGCCTAGATGTGCCAACACGATGGAATTCCACATACCTTATGTTGGAGGCGGTGGAAAAATTTGAGAGTGTTTTTCAAAGAATAGGTAAGGAGGACTACAATTATAAGCGCTACTTTTTGGATAATGATGGGGGTGAGAGGAGAGAGATGCCTACCGCCGAGGATTGGGATAATTGTAGGGTGTTTTTGAAATTTCTTAGAATGTTCTACAATGTAACAAAGATATTTTCTGGTTCTTTATTTGTTACTTCAAATACATTCTACACTGAAATTTTTGTCATTAAAAATATGATTGGACAATTAATCAAAAACAATGATCATATTTTGTCTTCAATGGCAAAGAAAATGAAAGAGATGTTTGACAAGTATTGGGGAAATAGAGATAAAATCAATCTCCTTTTGTACATTGTGGTTATTCATGACCCTTGAAGAAAAATGACATGCTTGCAATTTTGTTTTGCAACGATTTTTGGTGGAGATGTGATGAAAGTGAAAGAAATGTTAGACAACGTGAAAAATTGTTTGAGGCAATTGTATGATCATTATGCCATGCTTGATTCAAGCAATATGCATGCCTCCAATGTAAATGAAACAGTAAATATGGTAATAAATGAAAATGACCCACACTCTATTGTGAACTCTCAATTTAACTCATTTTTTGATAGGCAATTTTCAAGTAGTGGGAGTACGTCGGAATTGGATAAGTACTTGGGTGATATTGAGAAAGGTGGGAAGAATGCTCAATTTGACATCTTGGAGTGGTGGAAGGTTAATGCAACAAAGTATAGAGTGTTATCACTTATAGCACAAGATGTGTTAGCAATGCCTGTTTCCACTATTGCATGTGAGTTTGCTTTTAGTACAGGAGGTCATATACTTGATAGATTTCGTAGTTCACTTACTCCCAAGATGGTGGAAGTTCTTGTTTGTACACAAAATTGGCTCCGAAGTAACATTCCAATATACCTTCGACAGGTGTTAAAAATTGGATGCCCATATGGCATGACCCTTAGAACCTTTTGAACCTGAACCTTTTGAACCTTATCCATGTAAGTTTGAATTTGAATTCAAAACTTATTTGGATAACCATTCAGGATATCTATATCTATCATATCAATAGATATGGATAGATGGATAGATGGATAGATAGATATTGGTTATATATCAGATTATATGGTTAATCTAAAGATACACGTATATCAGATATACGTTATGTGGTTTTTACTTATAACCTTTTTTCCCAGACTCTCTCTCTGATTCTCTCCCAGAAAACAACGATCAAGCCATTTTCCACTGTGACTTGTGTGGGTGATACTCATTTTGTAGTATCACTCCACTGCTGGGTTCAGTGACTGATCAGATTTTGAAAGCACGTGATTTACCCACGAGGTTGTGTCATTAAGGTATTATCTGAATTATTTTTATTCGTTGCGGTAATTAAAAATGCTTTATGATTTACATTGGTATCAAAGCTAATATGGGTATTTTCGTGCTTATTTGTATGCGATAAAATATGTGTATAATTTCATACAAATATACATACACATTATATGCATGAAAATTAGATTGAGAATGTGATACATCTCATTTTTATGTCCATTAAATGTCATTTTTGAGACTATAAATGTATTTTTTGTGAAAAGTGGAGTCCGGCAGTACCAAAGTTAGACTAGAAAACACCCTGGAAGGCGGTGCGTATGCCTCACGCGACTCCCAGCGGTTCCACGGGCTTCGACGCGCCACCACGCGCTTCCACGCGCTAGGCGCTCTTCCCACGCGCTCCACGCGCGCACTGTCTGCGCCCTTCACACACGCACGTTGGTCGCGCCGCTTCGCGTCGCACCATTAGATTCTTGAAACGAACCACAAAACTGTGGAAGGGAACTGTCTTGGGCCATAATTTTTACATATGCGTTGTTGTGCGCATATTCTAAATCTCATTGTAAGTGATGGATTGAAGGATCTTAAGTCTTGTATAGCGAATGTGAGGCATACAATAAGGTATGTGAGGCCTTCTCCAAACCGCCTTGACTTTTTTAAAAAGTATGTGGAAAGTTTGAAAATTGAGAGCAAGAGTCTCTTGTGCCTAGATGTGCCAACACGATGGAATTCCACATACCTTATGTTGGAGGCGGTGGAAAAATTTGAGAGTGTTTTTCAAAGAATAGGTAAGGAGGACTACAATTATAAGCGCTACTTTTTGGATAATGATGGGGGTGAGAGGAGAGAGATGCCTACCGCCGAGGATTGGGATAATTGTAGGGTGTTTTTGAAATTTCTTAGAAGACTTTTCAATGCAA